CGGAGGACTAAAACTCATTGCTGTGATGCTCATCTGCTGGTGGCGGGGGGTGGGGGGGGCTTTCCGGTTTAGGAAACTGTACCATCCGTGCCCTCCTCACGACCCCATGGGGACTCAGCATGGCCCCGCAGCCCTCCTAGCCTGCAGCTCTGCTGCAGTGGAGTCTTCATTAAACATTAACGGGGCCGCTCCCGGCACTGCTGTGACGTCAATTACCGGGCTGTTTGATGGGAGCTGTGGCCTCCTTTCCAAGGTGAAGCGGTGCCCGGAATTCAGCCGGCTCAGATGGTGTCCCGGGGGCCGATTATTGGAGAAGATGCCACTAATGTAAGGCGTGGCAGGAGTCCAGGGGCTTTCCTCCCATCTCTCTGGCTCCCTCGGGGCCCCGGTGGCATCCTGATGCTGGCACGATGCGTTCAGTCATTAGGTAGATATTTATTGAGCGCCTGCTGTATGCTAAGCACGTACAGCAGATGAGACAGTTAGATGGTATCACTGACTCAATGGACATGAAACTCCAGGAGATGGTGAAGGTCAGGGAAGCCTCGCATGCTGCAGTCCATGGGGTCGTAAAAGAGTCGGGCACAACTTAATGACTGAACAAGTATGCCAAGCACAGGCCTAGGCTCTGGGGATGCAGTCATGAGGGTGACAAGGTCCTTCATCATGGGACATTCTTGTCTGGTGGTGGAGAGGAAGAAACTACCTTAATGCAGAACGGTAGACCCAGTGCTGTGAGCCAGGGCAGGCGCCCACCCCAGCCTGCCTGTGACGAAGAGATCCTCCCAGAGGAAACTAGGATTACGCTAAACCCAAAGAAGGAGCCCAAGTTAGGTCTGAAAAGAGGATGGGTGAGGGTTTTAGCAAGAAGGACTAGGATCAGATCTCAGACCTGAGTTCTATCCCTCCTCATTTACCTGCAGCTGGGTTTCCACTCTACCGGCTGCTATGAGGACTCTAGGAAGCCACAGCTAATGATGGCAGAGGGTTTGATGCCCAGCGAGAACTCAGGAGTAACTGTTATGAAAATAGCTCTGTGCCTTCATAGAATTCCTCACCCTGTCAGGGATCCTTACCCTGATTTGGGGAGCATAGAAACTGAGGCTCAGAGAGGTGACATCACAAGCCCTGGGTAATATTGTGGATCAGACCCCAGCTGGACATAAGACCCCAGGCTCTGACTTGGCTCTCTGACATTTTCCAGCCACAGGCAACCCAGCTGGGGTCTCAGCTCTACGAGACCCAGAATCCCATGAGAGATCGCAGTGTGAATTCCTCAGCCTTCTTTGAGGTTAAGGCTGCAGCTGCCCAAGGACAAGCCCAGACCTTGGCTTTGGGTGGGGGGGGGGGGGGGGGGAGGGGCGGGGCAGGGCCTATGCCTTGCTCTGCTGTGTGACTGTGAGTGAATTTCCTTCCCGCTCTGAGCTTCAGTTTCCCATAGTTAACACTAACACCAGCCTGGGACTCTGATCCTCACAACAGAGCCATGGCAAAGGAATTATTTTTAATTTCTTGTTAAAGATGAGGAGCCAGGCCACAGAGCAAGTGGGGGCTGGATTTGGAGCCAGGCTCATCTGCTGGCAGAGCCAGCTAATAGCCCATCATGCAGTGTGGTCTCAGAGTGGGAAAGCCAGCCTCAGTTGTCTCTAAGATCCTAATTATTTAAAAAATTATGCATTTATTTAGGGACTTCTCTGGTGGTCCAATGGCTAAGACTCTGCGCTTCCAATGCAGGGGGCCCAGGTTCAATACCTGGAGAGGAAAAATGGTAAAAAATTAAATATTTATTTATTTGGCTGTGCCAGGTCCTCATTGTGGCATGTAGGATCTAGCTCCCTGTTGTTGTTCAGTTGCTAAGTTATGTCTGACTCTTTACAACCCCATGGACTGCAGCAGGCCAAGCTTCCCTGTCCTTAACTGTTTCCTGGAGTTTGCTCAAACTCATGTCCATTAAGTTGATGATGCCATCCAACATCTCATCTTCTGTTGCTCCCTTCTCCTCCTGCCCTCAATCTTGTCCAGTGTCAGGATCTTTTCCAATGAGTCAGTTCTTCACATCATGTGGCCAGAGTACTGGAGCTTCAGCTTCAGCATCAGTCCTTCCAATGAATATTCAGGGATGATTTCCTTTAGGATTGACTGGTTTGATCTCCTTGCTGTCCAAGGGACTCTCAAGAGTCTTCTCCAGCACCACAGTTCAGGCTCCCTATATTGGGAGCTCGGAGTCTTAACGGCTGGACCACTATTACAAGTCTGTGATTCAATCAGTTCTGTACTGCTCCCCAGGCCTGCAGCACCCAGCGATTTCATGAGGAGGGCATTTCAGTTTCGCCTGGTCCTCTAATGTCTCACATAAAGGATGTAACAGCACAGTCACAACTGCCAGGCAGGCAGCACCCACTCTCTTCCTCATCCTTGTTCCTCCTGGCATCAGGGGCCAGGTGAGCAACAAGCCCACTTTACAGGTGAGGAAACTGAAACTCAGGGAGGTGCCATGATTTGTCCAGGCTCCTCCAGCTACTGCAGAAGAGCTGGGACTTGAGGCCCCATCAGGCAACTCCTGATCTTATACTCCAAGTTACTGCAAGGTGGCCAAATTCAACAGGGAGACCTCCTCCTCCTCCTCTCAGCCCCCTTCTGGGCCCTGCACTCTTGCCTTCCTCCCTCAGCTCCCTCCTGTCTTATCTTCCACGAGGTTGCCAATCAGCTGTCAGCCAGTAAACAGCACATTCCCCTCCTAGAAGACCTTGGTCACTTACAAAGAGGGATCTTGGTGGTGGCATTTCTTTAAAAAAAATTTTTTATTTATTTGGCCATGTCAGGTCTTAGTTGCAGCATGTGGGATCTTTCATTGCGTGGCACATGGACTCCCTAGTTGGTGTGTGTGGGCCTAGTAGTTGCAGTACACGAGCTTAGTTGCCCTGTGGCATGTGGGAATTTAGTTGCCCGATCAGGGAATCGATCCCTCGTCCCCTGCATTGCAAGGTGATTCTTAACCCCCGGAATCACCAGGGAAGTCCTTTGTAGTGGCATTTCTGCAGTAGGCACAAGGTATGATCAGGTTTGATTGAGCATTCATGAAGAATGGCACCCCGGACCCCTAGATGGCAAGCGAAATGAAATGCAGGCTTGTCCTCTAGTGTTTACTTTTTACGTGGGAAATGCCAACTTCCTTTAGGAAGCAGGAAGCAGCTGGTAAAAGTGACAAAAAGCATGAAGTTCGTAGTCAGAAAGGCCTGGGTTCACATCCTGACTCTGCCCCCATTAGCTCCACAACCTTGGGTATGAGAGCTTCCGTTTCCTCATCTGTTTAAATGGATAAAAGAGGATGCTCCCACGTCACAGTTGTCATGAGGATTAAACAAGATTAAATTGCATAACATAGGGCTTGATGCCTAGTAGCTGGCCAGGAAATACCAATCCTACCAAGAGTAGTCCATGCAGGTGGTAGACACCAGAGTTATGGTAGGAGTGAGTAGAAGGAGAAAGAGCTTCTTGGCGGAGACCTGGGAAAGCTCTTGAGAGGAGGTGAGCTTTCAGCTGAGTATTAAAGACTTAGAGGAAGAGATGGAAGAATGGGAAAGTTGGCAGAAACTTGCGGGCAGGGCCTATGAACCCAGTGGTCTTAGGATGTCCATAGAGTAGGTAGCAGCTTGGAAAGGTGGGCCAGGGCTAGGTCACAAAATGCCAGGCAGAGGGGTTTGCATCTTTAAAGGGTGAGAATGTTCTTCCTACCTATGACCCTGGTGGCCGCTCAGGGCCGTCTGCAGAGACCAGACCCGTAGAGTCACTCTTCTCCCCTGGCTTTGGCAATTCTAGATCCCTTTGTCTCCCGAGTCGGGGCCAGCCCACCACTGTCGTCTGGAAGAAGACAGAAGGCTGCAGCAATCTGCTTGCCTCCTACTAACATACTGGGGAGGAAAAGCTGTTTTTGAGCACAGTTGCCTGGCAGAGAACCTTGGTAGAAACTTATCAGCTCTCACCCTCACTTCCAACGTTATGGTTTAAGCAGCAGTTAATGATAGTTATGTGCGCAGCTCAACAACTGAAAGAACTTTTCACGTGCTCACAAGGTCAGGGCGGGCATGGGAAGGATGGTGATGGTGGTGGGGTGGGTCAGGATCCAGGTTCCCGCCCCCTGCTCCCTGTGCTGCAGTGGGACAGTCTTAACCTCCTGGGCCTCAGCTTCTTCCTCTGTAAAATCGGAACGGAAATACCGAAACTTCGTGTTTCTCCAGTGGTCATGTACGGATGTGAGAGCTGGACCATAAAAAAGGCTGAGCGCCGAAGAATTGATGCTTTCGAATTATGGTGCTGGAGAAGACTCTTGAGAGTCTCTTGGACTGCAAGAAGATCAAAACAGTCCATCCTAAAGGAAATGAACTCTGATTATTCATTGGAAGGACTGTTGCTGAAGCTGAAGCTCCAAGACTGTGGCCACCTGATGCAAAGAACTGACTTGTTGGAAAAGACCCTGATGCTGGGGAAGATGGAAGGCAAAAGGAGAAAGGGGTGGCAGAGGATGAGATGGTTAGACAGCATCACCAACTCAATGGACATGAGTTTGAGCAAACTTCAGGAGATAGTGGAGGACAGAGGAGCCTGGTGCGCTGCAGCCCACAGAGCCCCAGAGAGTAGGACACGACTTACTGACTGAACAACAACACTGTCCTTACCTTGACTGAGTGGGAGCTCACTGGCCACCCACTGCCCATGGCCTGCGGAGGAGGAGGTCCTGCTACCCTCTTCCACCTCCTGTGTGGATGTGTGCCAGACACTGGGCCTTTGACGCATCACTGTTTCATCCTCTTGAGCTGCCATGTCATTTATGGAACTTCCAGTGGTGTCACACCCTAGACCTTCAGAACTTGAAAAAAGACAGAACTCGGCCATCTGCCAGCACAGCCTCCCATTTCATAGCCAGGAAGTCCGAGGCTCTGAGAAGGGAAGTCACCACACTCCAGCTTTCCCTGGACCACCACAGCCTCTCCCACCTGGGCCTACCTCCTGAGAACCACACAGAAGGCAACTATCCAGATGGTTCCAGCCAAAGGATCTAGAAAATTCTGGCTAAGAAACACAAGCTCCTTGATCATCTGTGGAACTGAAGCAGAAGCCTTTTTTGCCCTTGTTTTAACTATGATTCTATAGGCGACAGCTTGGCCTTCTTCCCCAGAGCCAAGCTCTGCTGAATAAGCTTCGGGGGGATGGGATGCGGGTTGCCGAGAACGGGGCTCCAAGCTCCCCACCAGCTCACAGATTGCGGCTACCAGGATATTTTTGCACTTCTTAATGCCAAAAGCTGCCGTGGAAGCCAATCTGCTCCCAAGGAGGGCTTTCAAAGAGCAGCAGGATACTCTGGCTGATCCTGAAATCTGTGCGCTCAGATCCGGAAATCTGACCTTAGACACAGCCGATGGAAGTTGGTGTCTGCAAAAGGGCCTGGCCAGTTGGCAGAGAGTGGGCGTGGGCAAGGAGGCTGGGCATGATCGCCTTGACCACTGAGCAAGCACTTCACTGCTCTGGGTCTCCTTTTCCTCATCCATATGATGTGAGGACTTGGGGAGCTGGTCCAGAGGGGTCAAGTGTTTCCCCCAAGGCAGGCAGAGGGCCAGGAATTAACAGTGAGAGCTGCTGCTGCTGCTCCTGGTGGTGATATCATCCCTGGCTTGGAATCGGCCAGGTCACTTAAGCGGCAGGAGGCCTGCATTTGGGAGAAAAATAAAATTGAAAATCCTATCTAGGTGACACGAATCTGTGGGCGGGCGGCCCCTCCTGCTCAAGCCGGTAACCATGCCGACGGTGTGAACGCTGTCTCTCCAGAACAATACTAGGGCTTCTGTGTAACACGTCCCTTGGTGTCCAGACTTCACAGGGAGCTGAGTGTCCCAGAGAGGGGAAAGAAAAAATAAAAGCAGGACGTGCCTTTTCTGGGTCACCTATTCACCGGGCCCCGGCGGAGGGTTCCGGTGATGCTTTGGAAGTCCAGTCCCGCGTGAGAAACAGTCGTTACCAACGGCTCAGGGCAGGGCACAGCATGGGACTCTCTACAGCTGTGATGGCTGGTGCAGGCGGGGTGGGAACTTGCCCTTGCTGATCTCCAGCCCTAAGAAACAGGGTTCTCCTGACAGGTGGCTTTCCCAAGGGTGCTCAGTTGGTAACCGGCAGAGCAGACCCAAGCCCAGATCTCCATCACACACACGTATCGGTGGGGAGAGTGTTGCTCCGTTCCCCGGGTGAGACCCTGCTAGGTGAGGATGCAGCGCACTTGGCCCCTGCTCTGGGCATCTGCTCCGAGCTCGAGGGGCCACACACGTGTGTCTGACCTTGATCATCAGCCCCCATCCCTGGGTTCAGCGGCCCTCTTGCAAATTGCTCAGAAGCAATGTTGCTTGATGGTACTTTGAGCTCTGGGAGTAGGTGACCTAAGGTGGTCATCTTGGTCTCTGTTTACAAGACTTTAGGGAGCAGGCCGCTCTCCCTTGAGGGTGAAGGAGATGGATGCTGGTAAGTGTGTAGGCTACAAGAGGGGGGCTTGTGTGTGCTTTTCACAGTCTGAGTGACCGCTAAAGGGGAGTCACACCTTGACCCCTTCTCAGCTACACCTCAAGACATCGTGGGGCCATCAGACCCAGGAGGTGGATAGATTTGAGCTTGAATCCTGGGTCTGCTGACTACCAGCTGTGTGATTTTATTCAAGTCATGGAATATCTTCAAGCCGATTTCCTCATCTGTTAGATGGAGGTGGAGGTCCTAGCAACCTTACAAGGTTATCTTGAGGGAAAAAATATGCCCATCTCTGCAAAGCCCCAGGCCCAGTGCTGGCAATGGGGTAGAAGTTCCCTTCCTTTCAAGAGCAGGAGTGGATGAAGTCACCCAGGATAGGGCAGAGGGCCTGGAAAGAGTTCTGAGAAGCCCTAGCATTTCTGTGTAGGCAGAGAAGAGTCCACACGGGAGACAGAGGAGGGGTGGCTGGAGCAATACAGAGGAGCCAGGAGAGGCAGGGTCATGAAAGCTAAGAGGAGAACCTGCTAAGGAGGGGTGAGCAGTTGTACCAAGTGCAGAAAAGAGGGCCAGGAAGGGCAGGACTGTGCAGTGACCTTGGACTGGTGGGCACAGCGAGGGCCAGCCAGGTGCAGGAGTGGGTGTAGAGCCAGAGTACACTGGATTAAGGGGTGGGGGAGGTGGAGACAGTGATGTTTTGTGAGAAGTAAAGAAAAAAGCCTTATGGGAGAACCACTGTCCCCCATTTGACACGTATGAATGCCCCAGTCTACCTGATTTTCACTGTTCTGAAATCACTCTCAGTCCAACATGATCAGAAGCCAGAAGGGCTCAAATCCATCTAAGGACTGGAAGGCACTGTGGAAGCACCCCCTAGTGCTTGCCCTCCTCCTACCTCTCACAAGAACCCATCCTCTTGGGGCCCACTATGTATGATAAATTAGTATCTATCACTCTTTGGGGCTTCCGTGGTGGTTCAGACAGTAAAGAATCTGCCTGCAATGCCGGAGAACCGGGTTTGATCCCTGGGTTGGGAAGATCCCCTGAAGAAGGGAATAGCAAACCACTCCACTACTCTTGCTTGGAGAATTCCAGGGACAGAAGAGCCTAGGGAGCTACAGTCCATGGGGTCACAAAGGGTCAGACACAACTGAGCAACTAACAGTCACTCATCACACACCTTAAAGATACTCATTAGGGGAAAGATCAGCTTGGTTCCTTAACCTTGATTCCATTTGTAGTTAGCAAAGATGACTCTTCAAAGCATGGAGAAGCCTGGGGTGGGGGCTTCCTTCCAGACACACGCTCAAATGCTGTGTCATGGTTCCTCACTGCAGCATCACAGCAGGAAGAAGGCCCAGGACTGAGTGTGGAGGCCCTGGCTCTGCTGGCTGTGCACACTGGGGCCAACCCCTCCTCCCTGAGACTTCGCTCTCCCCGAATCAGGATGAGGGGTCAGACAGTGGGGAATCTAAGGGTCCTGCTAGCTCTGACATTCCAGGATTTCTCCTATTCTACAGTGCTTTAAACAGTTCAAGTCTAGTTCTACGGGTGGTAAACAGGTCCAGAAAAGGCCCAGTCCACAGTCCCTCTCTCTCCCTTCTTTTTAAATAATTTTTAAAATTTATTTTTATTTTGACTGCACTGGCTCTTCATTGCTGCTCTGGCTTTTCTCAGGTTTGGTGAGCAGGGCTACTCTCCAGTTGCAGTGTGTGGGCTTCTCACTGCAGTGGCTTCTCTTGTTTCAGAGCACAGGCGCTAGGCACATGGGCTCCGTGGTTGTAATTCCCAGGCTCCAGACCACAAGCTCAACAGCTGTGGCACACAGGCTTAGATGGCTGTATGGCATGTGGGGTCTTCCAGGATCAGGCATTGAACCCACGTTTCCTGTATTGGCAGATGGATCCCTTACCACTCAGCCACCAGGGAGGCTCTCCAACCTTTTAAAAAACATTTATTGGCTGCACCAGGTCTTAGCTGTGGCATGTGGGATCTATTCTCTGACCAAGGATGGAACCCTGGCCCCTGCAATGGGAGCGTGGCGTCCCAGCCACTGGACCACCAGGGAAGTCCCTTTCCTCTCCATTCTAATGCATCTGACTCTGCAGAGCAAGATTCTGGACCCAAGATATCTCTCCCATGCCTCTGGTATTTCTCAGTCACCCAAGGGGAAAGCCTCAGATCTTCAGTCTGGCATTGAAAACAGTCCATGATCTTGTTCTACTCAACCTCAGGTCCCACTGCCAGGCCTCTCTCCTCACTGCCAAGCCCTCACCCTTGCTGGACCCCACTCCCTAAGACCTTTTCCCTGACTTACCTCCTTCAACGTCTAGCCCACCTGCTCTTGAGTACTTAGGTCTCTGCTTCTCAGAGGCAGGCACTGTATCCTACTCTGTAGCTACTCCTTTCCCCAGTACTGAGCATGCAGTGGGCGCTCAATAAGGTCCTCAGCGAGCAAAAGGCCCCTCTCTTCTCCTTCACTTCCCTTGGCATGTTGTATTAAGTCTGGCCAGGCTTCAGTCACTGGGATTTTCCTCTTTTGCCCATGGCCTGGCTCAGGGGTCCTCAGCGTGGAACGCCAGGACTGGGCTCAGTGAACGTTCACTCTCCTCTTTCCCACAGGGGGAATCATGCCACAATTTACAGGTGGTGTAACCTTGAGCATGTCACTATTTCGGCTTTGAAAGATGGGGAGGCCAGCAGTGCCCACGGGGGTGGGGTTGTGAGCATTAAATAGCATCGTGCCTGTAAGGGCCTAGCACCGGGCCAGCTCCTAGCAGGTGTGTGGTGTTACCCGTTCCAGCCGGGCCACTCAGTCCCTCCTCCCGTGGTGGAAGGGCCAAGGCCACCTCCCAGGATGGGGACCCCCTGAGTCAACGTGCGTGGGGCTGGCTGTTCCTTAAGACTGGACCCCACCCCGCCCGGCCAGCGCGGACCCAAGCGCAGGGTGTGGCCCACAGAAGCCCAACGGCCAGGGTGGGCGGGCGCGAGTCTGGTTCGCCCGCCCCTCGGGCACGCGGCCTCCTGGCTCTCCCAAGCACTGAGTGTATTTGCTTTTGGGTCCCTCCTCAAGCCAGACGTCTATCCTGAACTCAGAGCCTCCTTTCTGGATGGGGCCGTGACAGTGCGCGGCCTGCGGGGCCTCCGTTACCGCGCTCCGCTACCCAGCTCCGCAGTCCCCACCCCAGGTCTCCCCTCTCGCACCTCCACCTCTGCAGCGGTAAAATGCAGCACTCGCACGGCGCCTGCGCGACTCTGGGGCGGGGCGGTGGCCGCAGCTATTTATAGAAGGTGACGTCACCTTGAAATAGACCGTTAGGGCCGGGCCGCCCTTCCCCCCCTCCCACTCGCGCCGCTCCGCGCCGCACGGCCCGGCCGCTCCCACTGCGCAGGCGTCCTCTCGTCCTCCCATCCCCCGCCCCCCGCGCGGCCGCCTGTCCTCCCTCGGCGGCGTCCGCGGCGCGAGCCACAGAGCGCGGGGCGAGCCAGCGAGAGGGCGAGAGGCGCTGCTTGCTGCCTGCAGCCTCGGCCGGCCGGCAAGCCAGTGCGCGTGCGCGGCGGCGGCCTCCGCGGCGACCGGAGAGGACGCGCGGGCGAGCGAGCGGAGCGGGAAGCGAGGCGAGGCCGGGCTCAGCGACATGGGGGACCGCGAGCAGCTGCTGCAGCGGGCGCGGCTGGCCGAGCAGGCGGAGCGCTACGACGACATGGCCTCCGCCATGAAGGCGGTGAGCGCGCCGGGAGCCCGGGTGGTCGGCCGGGGGCCCGGTGTAGGGGAGGGGTGGGCGGCCTGGCTGCAGCCTCTTCGGGCCCGGGGCGAGCCCGCCGCCCGACTGGGCGCGGTCGCCGGCCCACAGCCCTCGCTTCCCGCGCCCGCCGCGCGTCCCGCCATTTCTTGCGACCGGGCGGGGTGGGGTCTCCGGGGAGGGGGCGCAGCGGGGACCCCGCGGGCGGATGGGGGGCGCGGCATCCCAGCTTGGAGCCCGGAATGGGGGAGGGTGCCCGGGGGAGCCGCATTCCTCCTCCGGCCCGTTCCGCCAGGCTGGGGCACCCCCTTTCGCTTTCTTCCACGCACCCCAACTTGTAATAAAGAATCACCTAGTGAGTGGCGCCCTGTCTCCACTGGTTTCCGCTGCCACGACCCGAAGTGGGTGTAATCCCGATGCGCTTTCGTTCTGCTCGCCGGAACCGCTCTAGTTCCATCCTCCCACGCCCGGGGGTCCGCTTTGTGTGCCGAGACCCCTACCCTGCAGTCAGGCGAGGGCGTGGGGCCCCCTCCCATGTCGGATGCTGCGCCTGTCTGCCTGGAACCCCAAACGGGTTGCGACTCCTGGGCGAGCTGAACCCATGTGCCTTTGCCCTCCCGAGATCCTCGGAGACCCGCCTGCAGCTCCATTTCCGGGGAAGGAATCGTGGCCGGCCACACCCTGGCCAGTGCCTTGGATTAGACACCACCTGCGTGTCTGAGACCTAGAGTTCCAGCGATCCCCTCACTGCTCTGTCTCCTCGTAGTGTTTCACGTCTTCCCTAAATGATCATTTCTTCTCTCTGCGTCAAGGTCACAGGGCTAGAGCACAGTCGGCAACCTGCCCTGTTCACCCAGCGCACAACCTCCTGAGACAGGGGCGGATCCTCTGGGGCCCCACCCTAGACCTGCAGACTCAGATACTCGGGGTGGGGATGGAGGGGGGGGCTCAGAGCTGCCCTTGACCCATCCCTCAAGGCAAGTGCCAGTTGGTTTAAGTTCAGGAATGACTGTCCCGGGTTATTTAGCTCCTTTGCCCTTTTTTCGTGCCTTGGGAGGAGATTTGGTACTGAAAAATCCTCAAATACAGTGGCTCCCTAAAATTTCAGAGTCATGTGAAAAGCTCCTTTTAAGATTTTTGTTATTAATACAAAATCTGCTGTTGTGAAATCTGTTGTTGGGGTCGAAATTTAGGATCATCCAGGTAAGAAGGGTACTTGAAGCACTATCTTTCCCATGTCCTCTACATCATACCTTGAACCAGGTGTCTAAAAACCACCATCACCACTGCCTATTTGTTGACTCATTGGTTATCTCCAGTTGAGCCCAAGCAGGGTGTTATGGGCTAGATAAGAAGGAGCTTTTCATCCAGGCCAGGCACGATGTAGGTTTGGAACCTAAAGTCTATATAATTCTGAGAGTTTCATAAGGAAAAAAAAAAAAAGATTTAGTAATTTAGCAGATTTTACAGAAATAAAACTGACTATGAGTGCATTTCCTCGCAAGGGGCCCTGAGCTTAATCTTTGGGATAAAGCCACTCCTGTCCGCTCTGCACATCATACTACAGCGCGCCTCTTCTCCCTTGTCCCTGAGTAGCCCCGGGGTTGTGCAGGTTGAGACCACTCTCTGGACACTTTAGTGAGGCCCTCACCTGTCCGGCCAGTGGGACCTGAAGACTGCAGTGTTAGAAGCCTTCTGGGGACTAAAAGAGGGTCTGGAAACAAAGTGATTGAAATTACAGGAAAATGACTAGAAGGCAGTTGTGGAGCTGTGGGAAACAGGAAATTTGAAATGAGAAGTAAGGAGAGAGTGCAGAGATGTAACAGGAAAGGAATAGAGTTTGCAGAGAAAAAATAATTGGTTTTCTGCTCCTTGTAAGCAGGCTTGAAAAATGCTTTCCTGTAGCTTCCTACTTGTGGCCACAGATTTTCTCTGAGACATTAAGGTAGGATTTTGCAAACGTGTATTGGAAAAAATGTCGGTATCAGAGATGATTGGTGGGTTGGTTAGGCTCGGGTTGGGTAGGCTCCTGAAAATTCAATCCAGGCTCTAATTATGTCATCTCAGAATTGTGAGAATCATTCCCTCAAGGTAACTGCTATTAAAACGAGAACTTTTTGGTCAATATGCCTGTTTCTTCTATTAAAGAAATTTTTTTTCCTCATCTAAATTAATGGATATATTTATTGGAAAGGACTCAGCAAGGTCAGTGGAAAACTTTCTCACATTTTACCTAAGTTGACGTTTGAACGTTAAATTTTTAATGTTTTTTAGAAGGCTTAGTCCCTATTTCACTGATATCCTAGGCCTAAAATACAGCTTTGGGATTGGGCTTCTGTTAACTCTCTAGGTTTATGGGGTTTCTTCAGGGCAGGTAAGTAGACTGCTGTAAAGCACCTGAGTGAGGCAATGCTCTGATGCAGCCAGTCTGTGACCTTGAAGCTCACAATCTCTTGTCTCCTGGTCCTCTGAAGTGCAAAACTAGTTATGTTGGTATTACTGTCAAGTGGGTTTTTAGCTTTCATTCTTCTAACTTGTTTTCTGTTTCCTTTATCATCTAAATGGTACCTAATAATATTGCCTGCCTGTAATGACTGATGTTCCTTATGCTCCCAGCGTCACCTGGAGGATGGTGTCGGTAAGGCCTGAAAATCACGCATGTTGACAAACGTGTTTGTTCACATCAGTTGAGAGCTGCAGTTCCCTGCCTCATCCCCCAATTTGAAGAGGCAAGAAATGTTTTTGAAGTTAACTAAAGGTGTGTCTTCCAGCTTATCTCACATCTAGCTGCTTACATAGAGTGGAATAGTGGAAAGAAAAGTTGTGAAAGATTCTGGAACCCAAGTCCTTTTCAGACCAGTCTTGGAATGACCTTATACAATTCATCATCTCCATAAAATGAGCCTAGTTTCTCCTGAGAACTATGAGATAGATCCATAGTGTGGGATAAAAATATTAGTGCATGAAACTAAGTGATCTAAGGAAAGAGTAATTAATCAAATAGATTTCTAGTGAATACTCATGGATAGGCATCATTTAGTCATGTCACTACCCTTAGTCATCCATACTGAAATGTAGGTGGCAATCATGAAGTTACAAAATGTCAGAATTCTTTGGGATGGCATGGTATGTTCTAATATTGTTGCACAGTCATTGACAAAGTACGGAGAGAAATACACCTGAAGTACTTGAAGGCTATCTGTAGAAATCTTAAGTGCAGGCAACAAAGCTGCAGCTTTTGAGGTCCAGCCTGGTGGCCAAATGCTGTTATTCCAATAGGTGTAAGATCTCAGGAAGTAGGGAGTGACCAAGTGCTCTGTGAAAGGAGAGCACAGCTGAGCGTCCTAGGCTGGGACTTAACCCATGTTGCAGATATGGAAACTAAGGATGATTCTGAGGTGGACCAGAACTGTGACCAGTGTGGCATCATACAGCCACATTGGTACTACCACTTGAAATGTATGTGAACCAGCAAGCCGTGTTGCCGATGTAAGTATCACTGGCTTAATGGCTGAGGAAGGAAGAGGGCTCTGCATTAGTCCTGCAATATTCTCAGTTAAAAGACATTCACTTGGTGAGCAGTTTACATAGCTTTGCTGCATTGACATGAGCTGTCCCCATCTGGATTTGGGGTTCCTAAATTATCCCCAAAAGAGCTCCTGCTGTCCAAAACCCCACCATTCCTTTAAAGAAACCAAAAATGTATTTTCTCATCTTTGTCTGGAACATAATATTAGTGATAAGACTTCAGTGTCACACTTCTTCAGAAATAATGACTGGGGGATAACCCAAGTGTGTGTTCCATGTTATAGTTCATCAGGTTTATTAAATTCACCATTTTACCTATTAGGCACTCAGTAAATGGTGGCTTTGATTCCATGTGTATGTTCTCATTTACTCTTGAGAACAACTTTGGATGGATCCTGTTACTACATTTTACAAATGAGATTTGAAGAGATAAATTTTCTCAAGGTCGAGCTGTAAAGTGAAGATTGCGGCTCTCAAGTCTAGAGCTGTTCCTTTAACTCAGTGATGATGGCCCATGAGGCTGAGGGGTCAAGTTTCTTTCTCGTATACTTTCTCATCCGTTAGCCATTGTCATCATTGGTGACTTAAGTTCTGAGCCAGTCACATAAGTGGGCTTACTGAACAAATAATTCCCTCTATTAGAAATAAGTCATTTATGCCAAGTTTAATTAAAGATGGAATCTGCCACTTATGGGTCTTAGCTACAGCAGGGGAACATAACTGGATTATGCTTGGTCTCACATAGGCAGACTCACATCTGGATTGTGCTTGGTCTCTTAAAGACCAGTTTTGTTTTGGTTTGTTTTTTTCATTTATTTTTATTAGTTGAAGGCTAGTTACTTCACAACATTGCAGTGGGTTTTGTCTTACATTGACATGAATCAGCCATGGAGTTAACATGTATTCCCCATCCCGATCCCCCCTCCCCCCTCCCTCTCCACCCGATTCCTCTGGGTCTTCCCAGTGCACCAGGCCCGAGCACTTGTCTCATGCATCCCACCTGGGCTGGTGATCTGTTTCACTATAGATAATATACATGCTGTTCTCTTGAAACATCCCACCCTCGCCTTCTCCCACAGAGTCCAAAAGTCTGTTCTGTACATCTGTGTAAAGACCAGTTTTGTTTTGGTTTTTTTTTTAGCTTAGGAAGCAAAGTATTAATTTGAGTTCCTGTTACGAATTGAGAAGTGCAAGACTGTTAAATTATAGTTTTAAGAGATTTTTTCTCCATATTGTGTTTAGTATATCTTACAAGCCTAGAGACCCCCCAAGTTTCAGTGTTTAGGTTGGTCAGATTCTTCCAAGTGTCCAGGTCGAAGCCAGTTGAAACTGCCCCTGCTCCTCACCCTGCAGTGGCGTCCCTTCCTTAGTGGTGGGTTTTGGCACTTTCGCTGTGGTTGGAACCCGCTCTGCTTCTGAAGACTTCGGAGCCAGTGCCTCAGGGCAGTAGTGTGCAGTAACCCTGTTCAGATGGGGTTGTGTTTAATGCCAGTCATGGCCTGTGAAAATGTCTGCTTAAGCCCAGAGCAAGACAAAGGTGGTTTCTTAATGATACAAGGGTAGCTATTTTGACCGATAGCAAGCTTAGAGGGAACAGTCACTACCTGAACTCACCTGCTGTGAGCTCAAAGCCGGGTCTCTTCCTGGCCTTGCAGAACCTGCAGCTTCTCCCTGGTGAGGACAGAAGGTGGTCTTTCCAGGTCAGGGCAAGTGGAGACCAATGATGGGTGCCTTGCCAGTGGGGCACCAGGCAGAATCCTCACTTTGGGGGGCATTAACTTGGGAAAGAATCAGCCAAAAAAAAAAAGTTATCATTCTTCAGGGTCACTTTTCTTTTTAAAAAATCTATATAGGGTTCTGCCAAAGAAGCTTAAAGACTATCATGTGGTTATGTTTATGTAATTGTTCTTGAGGATTTTTTTTTTCCTCTGTTGTAAACTTCTATATCAAAAGCAAGCTTGTTGGTAGCATGCGGGTGTGTGTGGCTGTAATGTGTGGAGTGGTAGAAGTGTGTGTGTGGGGGGGGGTGGGGCTGTAATGTGTGGAGTGGTAGCAGTGTGTGTGTGTTGAGGGGGGGGGCATGAAGGATGAGAAGGCTTCTCTAGAGGAGGAGTATCTAAAACCTCAGCTTGAGCCATGTGGTCTGGCAGCTCAGGGGTGATTTTTTTTTTTTTTTCATTTGTTTGTTCAGTGTTACTTTTGAGGTTGGATGTTTCCCAGATTGAGAACTTTAAGTTTTCCCAAATAGTTCATGTGCTATTTTTGGCAGTGGGTCTATTTTTACTCACAAACACATAGCTTATTGCCCTTTGAGTTAGTGGGAGGAGGCCCTTGGGGATTGTTGAATAAGCCAATGGTGTCACAAGAAGATAAATAAATTCATAACTGACCAGGTCATTCCATGCTTTCAGAAATGCCATGTGGTCCAGAGCAGAGAAGGGTGAAGGGAGCTGGTGCAGCCAGAGGCTCCCTGGTGAGGACACACATGAGCAGAATGACTGGCAGGGAGGCTAGTCTTCAAAGGAGATGGGAGGAGCGCCCTCCCAAATGGGAAAGGTTCAACAATCTCAAGGTTTTCAGGAAGCATCTAAGTAGGATTACCTGGGGTGAGGAGTGGGGCAGGAGAACCAGACAGAGGGGCTGTGAGCAGAGGTGGGGGAGTCCCTCAAAGCTGGCGTGGCCATGTGAAGACTTAGTGTCGGCGGGGGTGTGCTGCACTGGGCACAGCTGGCCCAGTGGACATCTCATGATGGACATGAGTGTGTTGGAACCAACACTGGAGGAGAAAGAAGGTTGAGAATCCTTGTCTAGGTCTCTTCTGTCTTGAGAATTCCGTATCTAGTCTTTCTGCTCCTGATTAGCTCTTTGGAAACTTGTGATCCTAGAGATGCAGGAAGTCCTTTCTGCTGAATCTGAAGGTGGCTGTCCCGCCTGGCTTGTCTGAGGGTTGGTTGGGACCAACTGTTCTACTTTCCTGCCCTGCATTGCGTTGCCCTCAGGATCTACCCCTCTTAGTGGGTGACCAGACTTGTCCTTAAGTATCCTGGCTCCTGTATTTTGGAAGTTGAAGTGTTGAGAACTCGCACTAACAAACATTAGTGAAGGTTATTTGCAATAAGTATCAATAGCCAAGACTGGCTGTAAATCTTGTTTTACAACAGGCCATCGGATTTCACTTCAGTCTATAATTTTCCAATCTGGGGAAAACGCCCACTTTTCTTTAGATATCTGATCAAGTAATAAAGCTATCTTCCTCCCATAAGTTTCCTTTTGTTAGCCAAGTTGTAATCCAGGAGTATTAAAAAACACTATATTTAAACATATGCAGTTGTTTCCTAGTTAGGCCCTGGCTGGGGTTCTGAGAACAATGCTTGTTTAGCTGTTAGTCACACTCAGCTGATGCCGATAGTGATTCATTCAGACTGGCAGGCGACCAGGTGATTGTTACATAAACACTGACACTCCTAGGCAGTAGTGTTTCTTGTGAAGGTGTCATTACAAATATTGCCCAGTAGCCTTTTTTGGCGGTTTATTCTGGATGGAGAAGGGATCAGACCTGTGGATTCCTGGGACCCACAGATAGACCCACACGTAGTACTGACCTCAGGCCTTAACCACACCTGTTGTTATTGCTCAGGAAAAACAGAATCCTAGGGTTTTAGAGCTGAAGAAATCCTTGGAGGTTGTTTGGGCTGGCTTCACTAATTTGACTTCTGATGCCCAGAAAAGTTGTGTTCTGTTGAAGGTCACACAACTAGCTCAGGCTGTGTTCCAGATGTCTTAGGATTTTTCTGAATAATGATACTGCCTTTTGTACAAACACTCTGATATGTAAATATTTCAGGTATTCACTCAATTTTAATGATATACTCTGGGGACGTATCTTGAGGTGTCTTTGCAGTAGTCCAACAAAGGCAGTTTTATTGGTCACAGGATGAAGTCTATTATATAGTGACTCCTTACGGATTTGCTTACTGGAAGATCTGAGGAGCTTTCTCAATTCTGTTCTTGCCTCACATTTTGTTTTATACAATATTGTCCTAGAAAAGTGTCATTCTAAAGGATTCAGGCGTTCTGAGATTCGTCATAGTATTTGAGATAGAATTTTGATTTATATGGGTTGTTTCCCTAAAAGGCCAAATTACCAGGAAAATATAAAATCTTTTTATACTTGTAGTGAGGCGATATGAGTGTGTGAGTGCCTAAAGGCAGTCCTTGGAGAACACCAGTGGGGTTCCGGGTCTTGAAGGACCTGGGAATGTGGATGAGTAGAGAATAGGGGATTACTTCAGACCTGTGTGGACACCATTCCTGTTTGTGTGATGGTACTGAGGAGCCCAGCTTGTGGGCAACCCTCCTGGGGAATGTCGGGGAGGCTTGCAGCTGAAGACACTGGAGAATGAAGTGTGGTTGGGTTGATGGACTCGGCAGAGGGGGAGACCATCCCCGGCTAAGGGCTTGTAGCAGAAGAGGAAGAGTCCTGGGGATTGGGAAATGGGGGAAGCTAGAAGAGGGAGGGTGTTTATATTTTGTCTGGGATTTATTGAGGAGGGAAGTGGTGATAGACAATTGCTTGTTTCACTTTTTAAGAACTTGGCACAAGGCCTGCCTGAATTATGAATCTCTCGAAGTTCTTCTAATATTTTTGAGTTGGTGTCTTGTCTCTTCTGTTAGACTTCAGTCTCCCTTGAGATAGGGTCCTTGTCCAATTGGTTTTTCTTGAGTGGTTTGTCTGTAATCCTGTTGCATTTTGGATATTTTTTATCCATATTGTGAGGCATGTGGCTTCTTAGTTCCCTGACCAAGGGATCGAACCCGTGCCCCTTGCATTGGGAGCATGGCGTCTAACGATGGGATCACCAGGGAAGTACCACATAACCCTGTTTCTCAGGAGGGTTGTTGATGGGATTGAAGGGAAGATCTCTCCCAGGTTTTCGAATTTGGGTCTCAGTGTTTATCTTTTGGGGATGTTGCAGGTGACTGAACTTAATGAACCTCTCTCCAATGAAGACCGAAACCTCCTCTCCGTGGCCTACAAGAACGTGGTCGGTGCCCGGAGGTCTTCCTGGAGGGTCATCAGCAGCATTGAGCAGAAGACCATGGCTGACGGGAATGAGAAGAAGCTGGAGAAGGTGAAGGCCTATCGGGAGAAGATTGAGAAGGAGCTGGAGACGGTGTGCAACGATGTGCTGGCGCTGCTGGACAAGTTCCTCATCAAGAACTGCAATGACTTCCAGTACGAGAGCAAGGTCTTCTACCTGAAAATGAAGGGCGACTACTACCGCTACCTGGCCGAGGTGGCTTCTGGCGAGAAGAAGAACAGTGTGGTGGAGGCCTCAGAGGCGGCCTACAAGGAGGCCTTCGAGATCAGCAAGGAGCACATGCAGCCCACACACCCCATCCGGCTGGGCCTGGCCCTCAACTTCTCCGTGTTCTACTACGAGATCCAGAACGCGCCCGAGCAGGCCTGCCTCCTCGCCAAACAAGCCTTCGACGACGCCATAGCCGAGCTGGACACACTAAACGAGGATTCCTATAAGGACTCCACGCTCATCATGCAGCTGCTGCGAGACAACCTCACCCTCTGGACAAGCGACCAGCAGGACGAGGAAGCCGGAGAAGGCAACTGAGCGCCTTGGCCCCCCCGCCCCCGCCCCTTCACCACCAGCCCCTCCTCGCCACACTCACTCAGTATCCAGTGCTCAACCTATCTGTACGGCAGCACAGCTACTCAGACCTGCTCTCCGCCCCGGGAAGCAGTTCCAGATAAATTAATTCATGGGCATTGCTGGACTGACGGTTGCTTTGAGCCCACAGGAGCTCCCTTTTTGGATTGTGCAGACAGGTGCGTTCTGAAGGAGGCATTTTCGTTTGCTTGCCTGTCTAGGTGAAGTGCAGGCGAAAGCCACAGAAAGTTAGAAAGGAGAATTAGCCACCCAGGCTACAGTTGGTATTTAAATGGTCTACTTCAAACCAGCTGCTAGTGTTTTGTTAAAGCAGTACATCTGTGCATGCAAAAGTGAATTCACCCCTCCCTCTTCTTTCTTAGCTAATGGAAACCCATTAAGGGAAGCCCAGACGAGAGACCACTTGCTCCTTTCCATCAGCTTAATAATAAACTTTAACGTGAGGTTTCAGTAGCACCTTGTTCGCCTCTTTAAATTATGACGTGCACAAACCTTCTTTTCAATGCAATGCATCTAAAGTTTTGATACCTGTAACTTTTTTTTTTTTTTGGTTGCAATTGTTTAAGAATCATGGATTTATTTTTTGTAACTCTTTGGCTATCGTCCTTGTGTATCCTGACAGCGCCATGTGTGTCAGCCCATGTCAATCAAGATGGGTGATTATGAAATGCCAGACTCCTAAATTAAATGTTTTGGAATTCAGTGGGTAAATAAAAATGCTGCTTTGGGGATATTACCTCTACGTGTATGGTCTTCATTTCTCTCACTCTTGAAGAGCTGTCACAGCTCCCCGCTCTGAATCCTGACTTGATCTCTCCAAACTCCAAAGCATTTCTGGAATAGGGAGTCTGTGCCTCCTGATTCCATCACAGGTTTTGCAGCATACACATAAGACTCATGAATTCTAAGTAGTTTTCTCTGAACCCAGCTAATGTGGCCTCTCTGGTCCCCTCCTCCTGTTGCTAGTTCCTTTAAAGGGAAGACCCTAGTGCGTCTTCTGAGGCACAGCCCCTCTGGAAGGTGGGTCTGTGTCTGACTTTGAGGGTGTAGCTCCAGCCACCCCACAGAACGTTGGTTGCTTTTTAACACACAAAGTAGGTACTTGTTCACCATTTTTCTTAACAGTTTTTCTGCACTGCGTGGAATAAAATGTTAGTTAGGGACACAGCTTGGATACCCAGTACAATCTTGAGCAATCATTATTAAGAAAGCTCTGAGTATTCTTTCAAATAGGGTAACAAAACTCCCTCTGAGTTTTAAGAACAAGAAAGGCCTGGCCCCTAGTATGCTCCCCCCGCCATCTGCCTCCACCCCAGGCCACTCCTGAAGCCCTGTGTCACCAACTGGACCCTTGAACTCCAGCCCCTTATGATTTCTGGCACTGCCAGCCTGGTACGCGGGGCTGGATATGCTTGTCGAGCGGGTTGGTTCAGTTACACAAAGGCCCTAAAGCCCTTAGGGCCTTCTTGACTGAAGCTGAACACTAGACTGGTGACGGTGGCCATGCCCAGTCTCTGTCCTTGGTCCTACATTGTGGTGGGGCACAGGACAGCATGGACACTTAACCTATTTTCTCATCCTGATATGACCCACATGCTAATGAGTAGTCCTTAGGAAGCTATTTCAGGTTGACCTAATTGCTAGCAAAAATCATTACTGAGTTTTGCTTCAATTAGTAGGTCACGTGTTTTAAAGCTACAAGCTTTATGTGGCTAAGGTACTTGGCTTTGATGAAGATACTTCAAACATTATAACTTCTTACATTAGGAATGCACCTCACAAAAAGGGATTTAGAAAAAGCAATCACGTTTTCACTTCACAGCCATCTTAATGAAAAGTATTGTTCCCTTACAGGGGTAGGAAATAGGTGCAGAGCTGGCGGACCTCTGGAATCAGCTGGCGCCGCAGGCAGCCTCTGCCCATGACCTAAGGCTGTCTTAATCCACAGTCTCTAATTCAGAGTCCTAACTGCCCTCTGGTGGGCCCCAGGCAGCTGACAACCTTCAAGGTTCAGGTCCCTCATTGAATTTGGAATATAAGTTTTAATTCAACTCTTGAGTACCATGTGCAAAGCATCCTCTTGGGTCTGGAGACAGGGTGTGGGGAAGTATGGACACATAATTCCAGTCAGCCCCACAAGTAATAAACAGGGTTCTTTGAGAGGACCTGAAATTACACGTGATGTAAAGCTGAAAGCACCTCTGTTGTGTGGTCTCAAAGGCTTCCTTCCAGTTCTGCATGCTCTGATGTTTTAAAACTTGTCAGGATCAAAGAAAAAAGAAAAAAAAGCTTGTCAAGATAAATTTATGGAATGAAATAGGGTCATCTCAGTGTTACTGCAGGGGAAATGAGACCAGAGAAATGAATAGGGTTGCACTGCAAAGTTAGTGCCAGAACCTAGATAAGCGTTCAGATCCCCGGAATCCTTGTTCATGTTTTTTTTTTCCCACTGGGCTACAGTCTTGGGGTTGAGAAGAAAAAATGGATGTCACACACATCTTGTTCTGGGTACACTTTTCAGTGCTTTTAATATTTCACTTACAGTTCAACAAATTACACTTGGCAAGGAATATCTCAGTGTATTGGTGCTATGCTTAGATTTTCAATAACTCCTCAAACCCTGCTCAAAGGTCCATTTGTTTGATTTGGAGGAAAGGGGAGGATTCTTGATAATGGCGCTATTGTGGGGATAAATACTTGGCCATCTCAGATCACTTGGGATTGGGGAGCTCAGGGCGCTGCTTGGTTCTGTAAAGTAGGCTGCTGCATTCCACTGTTGGGCCCTGCCAGAGGCCGAGGGAGTCCTCCGTTCTCAGGACACGCCCCCCCCCCCCCGCCCCGCCCGCCCCCAGCTATGGGGCAGGCACAGGCACTGAGTCGCAGCTGGGTGGGACTGAATAGATCATCTGCTACAAAATGCAGATGTTAGGCTGATGGGCACAACCATTTCGAACACCTGTGTTCCAGACACTTAAGTATGTGGTCTCTGCGTCTTTACAGAGACCCTGGGAGATAGGAATGGTTTCAGCGCCTCATGGCTTGTGGGAAAACGAACTTGACACTGGATTCCTTCATCTTTAGCTCCCCCCTGGGCTGTACTGTGGGTCTGCACTGCATGATGGCATTTATCACCTGTCTTGTCAACAACCCATTACCTACCATGTGGTAGGCACTGGTCAGGGTGCTGGGGATGGATACCTTGGTGAATTACCTGTCCTTGTGGGGCTAAAACTAGTGGGGGGGATACAATACAAACATAAAATAATACAATAACTATAAAGATGTCACTCAAGTTCTCAGGGCCTAGCACACAGCTCAGGGTAAGAATTTGTTGACTTCATGAGTAAATGACTGACCTGAGACCAAAATTTTGAAAAGAGAAGTGAACAGAAGGAATCCTTCACTTCCACGCCCAAATCTACCAATGAGCCACTTAAGAAACAGGGTCGGGATTTCCCTGGCAGTCCAGTGGTTAAGACTCCATGCTTCTAGTGCAAGGCACATGGATTCGATCCCTGGTAAGGAAACTAATATCCTGTATGCCTAGTGGTGTAGCCAAAAAAAGAAAAAAAAAGAAAAACCAGTCATGAGTCCTTGAGCTTAGTTCTAACATCACCTATAAATTGGTTTGAGCGTGTCCTGACCTCTCAGCAGCCTCTAAAACCGAGGCGGATGCTTGGGGTGGTCTCTGGGTACTTTTGCATTTTGGAGATTCTATGATTCTCTGTTATTTTCAACTGCTCTGGGATGGTCCCCATCCTCTTCCTGGCGTTTTTCCTGCTCTCCCCCTCCCTTTTCCTTCCGCCCTTCACATTTGTCCCTATTGCATCCGCCCTCCACACCCCCCCTTTGCTTTCCTGGCCACCCCCTAGTTCCACCAAGAGGGTTTCCATGGCAATCATCTCCTGGAAGTGACATCACTCATCTCCTAGGCAACAGTTTCTAAGGCAGTGACATCATTCAATCACCATGGCAACCCTCCAGGAGGATAGTTCTGCAGTAAAATGGGCAAATAGAATTCTTATGTATTTCTGGGGGCTTGTGGGGGCAATGTAGGGAGCCATTACAAAGATCTCAATAACCAGAAGTAAAAGCTTTGGGCCTGTAGGGGAAAAAAAGGGAAGCCAATGTGGGGGCTGGAAAAGAAGCTCTGGGATAAAGCCCTTCTACTTTCTAATAACTAGGCTGACCATTTACTGTGTCACCAAATTGGGACACTGGGGAGTAAATAAGGGCACGGTGGTTATTACACTGGATGAAACAGGTGAAAACTGGGCCTCCCACAGTGAACCAGGGCATGTGGCTCCCGCCTAGGTCAGGCTAGTGCCTGGCCTTACTTCCTCAGCTATGGCTCATCCCACAAGCATGGATTCTGCTCTTCGGTATGTAGGCACCGGGTATACCACAGTGAGCAAAACCCACCTAACAGAACTCACAGTTGTGTGTGTGTGTGTGTGTGTGTGGTGGGGGCTGAGGTAACACGCAGTCACCAGGTGAGTGCTGCAATGCAGACTGAATGCAGTGCTCGGAAGGGAGGGCCCAGAGCACCAGGGGTGTGTTCAACACGGGTGGCTGAAGCAGCTGTGGCAGGAGGGGACTTAGTAAGGGGGGTGGGATGGCATAGGTGGGGAGAAGTCTGTTTGGCAGAGGGAACAGCATCTGCAAAGGGAGTGTGCAGAGCACCAAGAATGGAAAGAAGCTGTGTCAGTCTGCAGGGCAGGAGGGAGTGGGCAGGCAGGAAATGAGAGCGGAGAGGTGACCAGAGCGCTGGGCAGCCCCGTGGATGTGTTTAGAGGAGCAGGAGACACAGTCCTGTTTGTATCTTCAAAATCTGGTTGCAATGTGGGGCAGAGTAAGGGAGCAGTTTGCCTAGGAGGGAGATTGGCGCGGGGGAGCTGGGTGATGGCAGGCAGGTGGAGGATAAGGAGCATATATTTCGGAGA